ATAATGTGGAATAAATAAAAGAATTAATACAAAATATTATTTTTACACATTCTATTTTAGGCGCTCATTATTTATTCTTTCTTAAGCTACCTTCCACCTCTAATAGACACTTTTGGAAAGTATAATTAAGCCATTTTTATGCTAAAAAAGAATTGTATGCTAAATAATATAATTATGATCAAACTATAATAGCCCCATTAGGATATTTTGAAAAAATCAAGGGAGATTAAATTTATTACGCACAATATTAAAATATCGTATGTTACGACTTTTTGGGAGAGAGTCTGCAAGAGGTATTGAAACTTATTCTCATATATTGCGTTTGATACCTTATACGGGAAAGTGGGTAATGGTCTTGTGAAGGTCCTTGACTTGCAAAAGGTGCTCTTTCATTAATTCGAAAGTCGATGCGATACGACAAATATTTTTCTGTTATTGATTAAAAATAACAAGTCGTTCTTCATCATTACTTTCACACAATTTTTTAATAGAGGCCTGATCAATATTCTAACGATTTATGTTATTTTAATGGCATTCTTTTTCTGAAAATTAGCATGATATCGTCAATTAATTTTAAATCGATATTAACAATCATATTAACATTTTTTATATACTAACTTAGGTGCATTTTTATACGTTTGCATACATTTGCTAAGTATACATTGCGAAAGAAATATTATTTATTATTTGGTATTATTAAGCACATAATATAGAAATTAAACAAAAAATATATTTTATTTTACATATAAATTTAAATACATATAAAATTATTATCATTATGATTTTAAATTTTATTAAAAAATTATATATTATTTTTGTTTTAATTAATAAATGTAACGAGTCTAAAATACAAAAGTAAAGCTAGACTAAATATAATTATATGGTAATTAATATAGATATATGAAAATAGCAAGTATGTGTGCTTAAAATTTTAAAGTGTGTTTTTAAAAAGTTTTGATTTATAAATTATATGCTAAAAAATCAGCGATCGATAAGTGACAAAATAATTTAGTTCTGCTTATCTCTCTCCTCTCCTTCTTATAAACCAGATCTAACCAACAGTGCCTTTTTTTTAATTTTCTGTTTACCTAACGCATTATATTTTTAATTATACTTAAAAATTTTATAGTATTTTATTCGTAGGTCATTGAGAATATTTATTAAATATTACGTGAAAAGGTATTTTTGATTTTTTGATAATATTTATAAAGGTTAATGCTAAAATTCGGGTCTAGAACCAACGTACTTTTATGAAGACATCATAATGTTCTATTATAAATTAACAAGTTTGACTGATCGCAATACAATGGATATGTTTATTGTATCAAGTTGTAATAAATAAATTGATTGATAATAAAATGTGAAAATATTCAATTACAAATATTCAAAATCTTTAATATCAAAAGAATTGACTTAACTTAATGTGAATAGAAGGTATCGTTTCTAATTTTTTATTTGTCATAAAAATCAGACTTATTAGTAGAAAAGGCTTTTATTATTCCATTTTACTATTGAATTAAGTAATCGATCGAATTTTAATAATATTGCCTTTATTAATAATATACAATAAAATAAATAATCAGTACTTTTATTTACTTTAAAATATGTTGTGACAAAATTATATAATAATAATAATAATAATAATAATAATAATAATAATAATAATAATACAATATGAAATAAATTGAAAACAGTTTTGCTTTCGCTATTACTTTCGTTTATCAAATTGTATAAACTAACAAGATATAATATTATTTCTAAATCTAGAATCAATATGTTAAATTAAAATGTGTATAATAATATTTCATATATCAACTGTATAAACTTTTAATACTTGCATATTATTTTACATATTACATATGCTAAATTTACGTATAATTAGAAACTGCATGATTATAAAAATTGCAAAAAGTTTTGACAAAAACACATTTCTTGTGTAAAAATATTTTATATATCAAAATCTATTTTTCAAAATGATATTTTCAAATACGGTCAAATAAATAGAAGATCTTACTTTATCCACAACATTTATTATTGCCTATTATTAAGCACAAAGTACATTAATTCTAAAAAATTTGAATATAAAAATATGTGTTAATTATACAGTAATTAAATCCTAATAGTTTAGGTAATTATTATATATATATATTATTTTACAGTTAAGTTGATTATGTAATATACTATAAAGCTAGACATTCATAAATAATTCGACGAAATAACTAATAAATAAAATTATTCATTATAAGTATAACAGGAATTCCATGTATAATGATTGAGGACTTGCAGATTTAAAAATTCACTATTATTACGGCATAGTATTATTTGCTTTTTGTCGTCCTTCAAGCTTTTTTTTAGAATCCAAGTAAAATCAATGAATCCTGCAGGTCCTGTAATGAATGCTGTAATATATCGTCATCCATAAATTAATATCATAATTGATAATCATAATGCATAATTAATAAATTTGTCATTATTAATTTATATTCAATTACTTTTTAGCTATATTTATAATCAAAGTTTTTTAATGGCTAAGAAAAGTCTATCTATTTCTATAATTTTTATATTAAATATAAATTACAAATTACATATCATTAAATCAATTTATAATAAAGAAAGTGTATATAATAATAAATTTGCAAACAATTTTTACTTGTATAATACAAAATAGAGTTATATTTTTATAGCAATCATAACAATGTTATTATATATTAGTTTATTATTAATTCTAAAGGAGTTGCTAGTACAGTGTACTATAAATTATGCATATATTATATATTAATACAATTTACAAAAATTGCAAACTCTAAGAAAAATGATGTTATAACTTCCGTATATATTATATATATTATACCGAGTATACGTAAATCAGTATTTCATATATAACAGTTAAATCACAGTTTTTTCTCTGATATCTAATAAAAGATTTTAATATTATGTAAAATACTATTTATAATCTATTACACATAGGAATTCAATTTCTCAGTTTGATTTATAAATATAAAATACATATTATTATTTATAACAGCAATAAGACCTTATAAGATGAAAAACATTTCGAAATTTTTCTGAAGAAAATGAAGTTACTTCTCAACTACTCGAAAAATATCGTATTGAAAATAATAAAATTATCTAAAAGTAAAAAAAATTTATGTTTCGTTATGTATTTTAATGAAGACTTTCTTGTTTCAACTACAATGAAAATAAAACAAAATTGATTAAATTTCGTAATAAATTGTAATAAAAATAATATAATAAAGTAAGATATAACAAATTATAGTTATTAAAATTTTGTATATAATGATAAATTTTAAATTGCACAGATTAAATTTGATAATAGAGAAAATTTTTATCGATATTTGTATGCATAATAAAATACAAGTACATAAATTTCTTTCAAGTTAAATCATAAATATTAAGTTGTTATTATATAAAGAATTAAACTGGCGTTAATGTTAGAACAGTAAATGTGTCTGAAAAACTTTTGATTGTTATAAATTGTTGAAAATTATATGTTAAACATATATTTTTGGTCCGACACGAATGCTTTCATAGATGAAAACATTGTTTTTACTTCATCCAACTAACTTATTGTATAATTCTGAAAAGTATTATATATTACACAATGAAAAAAGCTTCTCACGTTTTCCATAATAATGTTTTATGTTATATTAAAAATTAAATGCAAACATACATATTTATACGTAATTTTAAACAAAACAAAAAAAAAAAAAAAAAAAAAAAAAAAAGGGGTACATCATCGATATTTTTAGTAAATAATATCGGCATTAAAATATCAATTCGCAGCTGCTAAACTCAATCAATCAATCGTATAATGCTTTCAATACGTTTAAAATATAATATTTAAAATCAGTTTACTGAAAATGATTGAAAATGTCATTATTACAATTGAAAATTATTAACACGAATAAATAAGTTAATATAAAAATACAAATTTTATATATTATATATACGTATTACAATTTATGTAACTCTACGTTTTCAAGATTTTTCATTATTACTTATTACGACCTTACGCAATTTAAATATGAAACTTTAGCGATATGTTTCGTACAATCATTCTCTTTCTTGAAATATAAAATATTAATAAATTAGAATGTGTAGGTACATGAAACAAAATTAAAATTAAATTATTTATTGGTACACGCATGATATCTAATAAGCCGTTGGTTTATTGGAAAAAAAATATTCGAAAGATGTATTTAATTAAAATTAAAATAAAAGCGAATTATAGTATACAATTTTAATTTTTAACAAATAGAAAGAAAAAAAAACTATATTATTTTTAGTTTTTAAGGATTCTATATTTTTGCCTAATTAGTAGAATTATGTTAGAAGAAAAGTGAACGAAAAAGAGAAGTGAAGTGAGAAAACCTACAAATTAAAAAAATTAATTATACAAAATCACTTGAAAACTGATATAAATAGTAAAGATAAAATACATAATATTAAAGATTTCGAATATTTTTTTTTCTTATAGCAAAGAATGGTTTAAAAAAGTACATTTTTCATTTTATGAAAAATGCATAACGTTATTCAATTAATTTCTACAATAATGTGAATGGAATACATCACATAAAAACAGCCTTCTAATATAATAAACGATTTAATGTGATGCAACCAAATAGTACGTAAGTTTGAAAAATAAATAAATGATAGCCTTACAAGTTGACTTTTTATAACTAATTAGACAAATTTTCACAATAAATGAATTACAAAATATTATACTCGAGGCGCAATTAATGCTTACAATTATTCTTCATATGTAAATTCATGTTTTTTCCCCCATTCAATTCTAAATATAGATTTTTTTTTCGTTATTTAATCTAATAAAAAACTAAAGTCTTATACATTTGAGACATGAAAATCTTATATTACTTTAAAATGAATATTGGATTCAATAATAAATTAGGTTGCATAGAATACTATAAATATAATAGAGAATTTTATCAATAATAAACATGTGTATTGATAAAGCATGTAAATAGAATGGAACTTTAAAGTAAAGAAAATTAATCATGTCTGCGATATTTGTACTTATCATTTTAAGAGTTCATATTTGCCGTGACGGTACATTTGAATAGTCAAGTACATCGAATTATTGCACTCTTCTCTATCATTCTTACTTTTCCATTATTATTCTGTTTTACTATTTATCAACATATTTCAAATTCCCCAGTCATTATCCTATTTTCGAATTGTATGTTAGTTTAAATGACTTGAAACTGTAATATGCTGCTTTCATTCGCTTATGAAATATTATAGTATACTTTATCTATATAAATAGTTCATAATCTCGTTAAACATATAAGCAACTCGTGAAAATAATATGATAGATCACCAGGATCACTGATTTTCTTGGAAAAATATAGTGTGAGCGATCCCATTAATACATAATACTTAAAAGTTTGAACATGTATTTTTAAAGCGAGGATATGCGTGTATTAAATTACATTTTTTAATTGGATGAAAAAACCGACAATTTGGTCATAGTTTTGTGTGCTTGACACTGTCAGTCCAATAGTTCTGTATCGTCATTGCTTCTAATGAATTCAAGAACGAGTCGTTATCCAAGCTATACATTTCTTCCGAATTATCCTGAAAAAGTTTAAAAATATACTTTATAATTTGTATTCACTTTTCTATAATCTAACATTGCAAATATTTCTTTTATCAATTTCATAAATACTTGAAATCTTAAAATGGGTCATTGAATTTTATAAAATTAAAAAAGTACATCGTACTTTACGTTTAAAATAAGAAAATTATATATAATTAATTGTACTATGTAATATTTAATAATTATGATTATAAACGACAATAATAAAAATAATGATATGAATATTATATTTAACGATGAAATTTCAAAAACAATTATGTAGAATTTCATTTTTAAATAATATTCACGTTAGATTCGAATACTATTACCAAAGATATCATTTAATTTATAATTTAACTACTTATATATGGAATTATTTAGTTAGTATATATGTATGCATATTATCAATGTATGTATAATTCTCATTTGAATTACTATTCTGTATCAATTTATCTCAGTTTGACAGTGTATATGAATTTCATGTTTCGATATATTTTTGAAAAACATTATTTTGAGGTTTATCCTTGTTTCATTATCATAAAACTTTTATATTAACGTGTTATCATTTTTCAACTATCTTTTAAACTCCATTATAATTATATTTAGTTTTTAGGATTTTTGTTTTTTGTTTATTTAAATCAATTTATATAGAAAAGAGTAATAAATTTAGTATGTATATAGAAACGACTTTAAAAATTAATGTAAAATTAATTGAAAACATGAGAGAGAGAGAGAGAGAGAGAGAGAGAGAAACCAATTATGAAAAAAATTGAAGAAAAATAAAATAATTTATTTGCTTATTTATTGTTTTATATCTATTATAGAAACAATCAATTAGTCATTTATTGACTGATATTTTCAATAAAAAAATATTAAAAATAAATTTAAAGTTGTTTTAACTTTAATAACATATAGATAAAATTAGATTATTTGCTAAATTTAGTTTGTAATTAACTTAATTAAAACATTAAGATCAAATTAATTATTAAATATAAACGTATTTCATGTATATAATTTTAAAAAATTCAAACTGCGACAGTAACGGTTAAATCAATATAATACACATTAAATAATAACCAAATATTAATTAACCGTTAAATATGTTGCATTAGAATTTAATGTTTTGAAATATCTCGTTATCATGTCATATGTTTATATAATATTAATATATATATATATATATATATATATATGTATATATATAAGTATATTGTATTAGTACAGTAGCATATATATTGCAGCATACCCGAATTGTAGAATCATCTATATAACCGGAACTATCAGGATTACTGCATTTATCACTATTTAGAGTTTGTGGTGGGTTCAAATACTTCCGCCTAATTGCAAATAAAATAAATTAAAGAAAATTTGTATACTTTTTAAACATAAAAGTAAAAGATGATAATAATAAAATGCATGGCAAATTGCTTAAAATGAAAATACGTATTAGCAACACAATCTCGATTAAATTATTACTAAATTTTAGTTATTTTAGTCACCTGTACATAATAAAACCTAAACTGCCAATGGTACTTAAAAGTATTAGAATTGCCAAGCAGCTTCCGGTGATGATTGCAATTTCTGTTACACTTGCACTGGATTCAACAGTCTCTTTAATCGTCTCATCTTTGGTTATAAAATGTTTCTCGTTTGAAAAATGCTGCTGCTGCAATTCACTCACGAAGGTTCCTCTTGCTCGACCCAATCTCATCGAATCACTTAATGCACCTGTATGTAACGTTTTAATTAATTAACAATACGTAATTTATTGCAATTCAATGTGTGATAAGTATGTTGGTGAATTCGTGTGAAATAATTGAATTAGCTATTGGATAACAAATTCTTCATTAAATCTAACATAATCTTAATATTTTTATCGTAAACAAAATTAATATAATTAGACTATTATTTTTACGATTAAAATTAATATATTATTGTTTTTCACTAAACGTTATTATCGAGTTAATATGATTTTCGGGTAAAATTAAGAATTTTTGTTATTCTCTTTTATTTTCTTTTGTCTAAATTGACAACTTTACAGAGCCATTTTAATGTAATTGTACTGACAATTCTTGAATAAAATCTAATTGTTCATATAATTGTGTTTTTAAACCTTTATTGCGCGAAAACAATTGTTATCGTTATAACCCATGTTATTTCGTTATCATTCAAGTTCTACGAAATAAATCCGATTAAAGTATAGAAACGAATTGATAAATTATAATTTTCTCTACTTAATTGTATGGAACGACTGTTTTGAATTGTAAAATTAAAAATATCGAATGCTTTAATAATACAAAATTATTACAAAGATAAAAGCTATATAATATGAATTTTACAAATTGTATTATATATATTTTATCTTATATAATCTCGAAGAAAAGTCATTCATTGGTTAAACAAGATGACGATATTTTCCTTCAAAAAATTTTCTCATGATTTTGTATCCATTTAATGAAAGTCGAAATACCAAATATATCCCAAGTTGAAATAACAAACGATTAAAACAAAGATTTTACTAACTCTACTATTTTTGTTTTCAATTTAAATAAATTAATTCTTATACTAACAAATTGTGATAAAACTTTTAACGTAGATTTATCTATTATGTGTATTGTAATCTTCTATTGCCAAATAAAGAAATGATTATTATTCCATTTACATAAATTTAAAGCTTCATGAAAGTATTATATTATAAATAATATTTACTTTTGAGAGAATTTCATGTCTGCAGTTGTATGATAAAGTTTTTAAATGCAAAGAAGTAGTTAAAAAATTATTATTAATATTATTGTTAAGTAGAAATTTTGTGAAATCGAGTAATAATTTTCATTATTGTAAATCGTCGATGTTTGACACAAATATTTAATCTTGTAAATTTTGTAATTAACGGACTAAGAAGAAATCACCAACCGTCAAGTATCGACGCTGCAGTGCCAACGTCAATGGGATTAAATGTTTGTTGCCCCGATGCAATTTGATCCAGAGGATGATTCTTCGCTAATTGTTGCTGATCCCTACGGATCATATTTGGAATTTCAGTAACTTCCCGCAATGGTATGACCGTCATAAGGTCTTCCTTGACATCATCGCTAGACGTCGTCGATGGCATTTTCTCTTCATACTTGGTTTTCAATGGCTTAGTGAACGCTTGTGTCCGTGTAATTTTAGTATCCTTTTTACCGGAAGTTCGGCTAACTTGAGCACTTTTGTTCAAGGATAAATCGGAGTCTGTCTTGTTCTCAATTGTACCCAATGTCTTCCTGCAGTAAATAAAAGTAGAACGCTCAGAAGCTACATTTTAACGAGCGAGTCTCCCAATTTACTTTATCAATTAAAATTTTTTCACGAACTATCTACTAATTTTATGATTTGTTGAATAATAAGAACTATTATTTATTTATTTGCATAAATATATCTTGTTTCTATACGATACCTATTTTTATCTAATATTACACGATCATTATTGTTATATTTTTAATATTCTATTAATCGATAATTTTTATATAGTTAAATTATTTAATATACGAGTCAACTTTTAACGTAAACATTGATTTCATCAAATTAATAAACATATTTTACAAATTTGTTTACAAATATTTCATACAAATTTAACACAAATATAAACAAACGAATAAATAAAATATTAATAGTTTTATGAAAAAATAAGAATTATGATTATTATTGTATGAAATTCATCTTAATTAATTACGAACATAAGCGATACACCGTACCAGAATTTTGTTAAGAAAATTTAGAAAAGAAATGTTGATTTATTTTATTAATAATTTTATAAGAATTTCTATATAATCGAATTTAGTCAATTATTATTCAAATAACTTTATATAATAGACACTGTGAAGTGTCTCAATTTCCAATCTTAATGCATAGAGCAAATTTCTAATCTTGCTAGCTTTTGTCTAATAGTTCAATATTATCATTGAAAAATTAATCTGTTTCGTGGGAATAAAGCTTACCCATTGGTCAGTCAATTTCTATCCAATTAAGTATTTTATGAAACCTGATTAGATCTTCCAACTTTACCTCGGCTTCTCTGGCATAGAGGAAACAGTGTCTGGCGATTGATTCAATTCGAGGCTACGCGACAAATTCTTAGCAGCAACTTGTTCGGGATTTTCAGGTGATTCGATACCAATGGCCTTGGCGATTCTATAACTTTGTTGGATGCTCTCGAGCTTGGACTCTGCTCTGCTCGTATTTAGCAATGCGGGCGAACTGCTCGCGATCATCTCTGTAGTTGGATTCGTCAGGGATGCTAAAACGAATAATACTTGGTTACACTTATTGTAACGTAAATACTACTATAACTATTTATTATATTAAAAAGAAGAAAAAAAACAATAGAGAAGAAATATTGATAAATGATTCGTTATTATAAATGTAATACTTTTACACATGAGCTTTATTGTTTGATCATTGAAAATATGTATATATATATATATATATATATATATATATATTTATACCATCTCTCGAGACGGTGAAAAATAAAATAATTTCAGATCAATGAAATGGCTACTATTAATAAATAAAATATTAGTTTGCAATTCAAACCAAAACTAAAAAAAAAAAAAAAAAAAAAAAAAAAAAAAAAAAGAGCTATAAAATAAAATAAAATAATTAATTTCATGTAATGTAATTGAATCTAAATTATTTCATTTTTAAATTCAAGTAGGAGTATTCAGACATACTTTTTCATAGTTAAATCAATATATAATTTATTATAATAATCAAATGTAAATACTATAAGTTAAGTAAAAATTAAAGTAAATTTAATTCTTTCTTAAAACCTCGTAATTTTCAAATGTATGTATAATATTATTCAATTTATATTATGTATGTATATAAATAAATAAACATTATAGAAGAGTATTTAGGACTTTTAAATGTATGATAATAATATTTTGATGTTTAAAAAAGGTATAATTATAACAAATATAATTTCATGAAATGAAAACAACGAAAATGAGTATATGTAGTAACATTGATTTCAGCGAACATTTAATTATTTTTGTTTAGTATATCCATTATTGTTATATAAAATTTAAATAACAAACAATTTATTGTTATTGCTTCTGGTAAAATTCAAATGCTTCGTAATCTTAATAATATACATGATTTTAAAACTTTGAGCTCTGATAATTTAATAGTTTAGAATTAGAGCGGAACATATATAAGGTAATGGAGAATAGTGGTACTTCATAACAGAAAAGCAAGTTTTTTACCTGTATTTATAATTTGATTTATTTCATTAATTAATTAATGCAAATTAAGAAAATTAAAAAATAAATATAAAATTATATATGTTAACATTCGAGAATTTTTATAAAATATGTAAAAAAATATCTGTAAAAATTATAAAACTTGCCCAATATTAGACATAATAATGTAACGCTTAGAATTAATGTTTATTGTAAAATAAACAAAGGTTATTTGTTGAAAAATTAAAAACGTGTATTGAAATTTTATTTGAAAGTTTTGAAAATAATTTTACTATTGCACTATGTTATTGACAAAGTTAATATAATTTCACATAAGTTTTCCGCAAACCCAATCATTATTAAAAATAATGGTTAACGAATAAATATATAATATTTATGGCTTACTGAGAATGAGAAATAAAATCTTACGGTCAACATTTAAATGATGTTCGTTTAAAATATTTCCAATATTTATTCCTAGGATAAACTTATTAATTTCTAATATGATCGAATAATCCGACTATAAGTTAAGATATATTAATTATTCCATATTATTTTCAAATTAAAAAGTCAGCTTCTACTACATAATATTTATAATTATAGTGAATACTTTATAAAATAAATTTAACAAAATTCATGCTTACCGACAATTTGTGTCGTAACCCAGAACCAATGCATCCACCAATGTAACGTCATCGCGTCATTAGTGCTTTTACCTAAAAAATAAATAGAAGAATTGCGCTTAGTATGTAACAATTTATAAAATAATACGTCAGAATTTAAAAAATAATACTTCTTTGAATTTTGATAAGATATTCAGTAAATGATTATTGTCATAGATAAAGTAATACATTCGATATATTACAAGAGCTCGTACATATTTTATTACACTGTACGTACAGCTTTCATAACGATAAAATTAATAATAAATATTACATAAGCAATCTTATAATACTTATATTTATATTTATATTTTCCTTTTTAATATTTAACAACGAGGAAAATAAAGACTTTACGTTTTTTTATCGTTCAAGAATTTTTTTTTTCAAAAAATCGAAAAATTAATTTTCATACAAAATATGAAATATAATAATAATTTAGCCAAGTCATTTTGCTACTGTTAGTTGTGCAAAAAATCAAAGCCCCGATGAGTAATGCTCACTTTATGGCAATACTAAGGCTTCGTGATTCATCCATTCGAAGGCCAGGATTCATCTATACATTGTTACGGATTTTCACATCAAATATCGAGACCATTATCATATTATCGATAAGTATACGTTAATTATTATTATGTAATAATTCTAAATAAATTATCTTATAAAAGAATGTTAATAATATATTGTTAGATTATAAATATCTTTTAGGCAGTTAACGATACAATTTATTTTAATAATATTTTTATGAATTGTATTACAAGTAAATATAATGCTGTTATGCAAAAAAAATGTAATCAGTTTATTATGTGACAGTACGATACAAATTGTATATAATTACCTAATAAAACGTAAATTTAAAGGAACGATTGACATATATCAATGTATCTTATTATGTAACATTACAAGCAAATGGATAAATGAAAATTGTAAATAAGAAATATTTTTCAATTCTTTATTGCATGTTGTCGTCAATAAAATATAACAATTACATATTATCTAAATCATCGTTTCTCGAACTTATCATTAGATTTATAATGATATATGAACATAAAAATATTAAATACTTTCTAAAGCTAACAAACTGTACTTTCTAATTCTATTTGGTACTTGGATAAATTACCCAATATTGTGTAATGGATACTGCATACATAGTCGGCATTATGTTGCGCTATGAATTGGCAGTTTTTTTTTTATTTTTCATTTTTTATTTTTTATTTTTTATTTTTATGTATAGATATATATATATCTATATCTATATATATCTATATATATATATATATATATATATATATATATATATATATATATATATATATATATATATATAGATATATATAGATATAGAGGTGGAATGTTACGTAGGTAAGTAATTTTTCGAAAAGTAATGTCGTAGTAAAGAGAATTATATCGTATCGATGTGTATGTAAATTTGTGGTTATTTTCATTTAATTAGAATGGATCTATTATTCGACTATATCATTGGAGTAATAACATAATAATTTCGCACGATGATAAGCTTACGATGAAAATATAATATTATTGTAACGAAAATTAAATTATGTGATAAAATTAACGAAATTCAACATTTTGAGAAGAATGCCTAGTTTTTATTATTCGATACAGAAAATCATTGTGCAAAAATTATTACAAACCATTGTATCGTGAACAGATAAAAAAAAATAATATAATAATTTATTTTATATGTAAATTTTGTGGGAAAAATTAAAACTAATACAAACTTAGATTCTATATAGTCACTTTTTTTTTTCTTTTTTAAATAATATAAAATTACATTAATAATATAAAATTAGTTAGAAATTTTTATTACCCTAGACGCCATGTTTCAGTATTATTAATACTTTTATCTCTATAATTATAATTTTGTCAATTTGATTAAATCATAAACTAGAATTTTAATTATTGATATTAAATAATAAATGATAAAATTTTATATTTCATTTAAATAAATATTTATATTCCGTGGATTGAAATTACTTTCGAAATTTAATGAAGTTTATATTTAATGGAAAAAAATTTTAGTTTTACACATTCTATACATACTACTCTCGTTATATCTTATACTAATCGAACGAACGAATGAAAATGTATTATAGTGGAAAAGTATTGGTTTTCTCTTAAACTAATTCTTAATGATTGATAGCGAGCACTTGGCTTCGTTAAAATAATTCACACCTGAGATTATAGATTTCTTGCAATTGCGTAGAGAATTCCGTTGAATTTCAATGGAGCAATGATCCATCGTTGTCAACCAAATACAATGTAAGACAGTCCTACTTCTCTTCTATTTCTTTCACAGGAAAAAACTTGAAAAATACCCTCTAACAATGATGTACATCAGTGGTTTTACTACGGATTGATGGGTTTATGCTCTATCAGTCGTGTGAAGTAGTAGAGAGGAGCAGTTATTAAAGAAAATAATACGGACGAAAAGGGAGAACGAAAAAAGTAGACAAACGATTTTCAAGACGCTTCGGTAGAGCAAATAAACGAATATTCGTTGAATCTCACAAGTGCATAGTTAAAAGTAACGGGAGGAAGTGTAGTAGCCATCATTGAACTAGAGGATTCAAGGCGAACAAAATTTTTCTTTCTTTTACTTCATTGAACCGCATTTCTTTTGTAGAATTCGTCTAACCGCCCTTGAAATTGTTTTAATTTAATAAAAGGGTGTGTTTAATCCCGACTAATTCTTAATATATTCGGAATAAATAATAACTTGAATTTGGAAATTTGGAAATAATGATAATTTAAATTTGAAAATACCAATTGATATTGTCGATTTATCAAAGTGAAAACGTATTTCACATTTATATGTAACGGTATACGTATAACGCAATGACTTGCTGTTTGGAAAAACATATTTTTTTCTTATTATTGTTTGTTAGTATGCAATATATTGCCGTGAGTATGTGAAAATCGACAAGAATAATCAAAAGATATAAATAAAAAAAAAAACAAATGTGATTTACTTAAAAAAAAAAAATCAATATGAATTTATGAATAACGAAATATTATATTGCGAAACGAATATTTAACAAATTAATTATTTTATAAAATACAAGTAGTAGAATAAAATTATTTACTAAATCGTTTAAGCTTTCACAAAACCAGTTAAATAATTCTGTTTCGACATTTTCTCTCTGAGCTTTAACCTTGAATTTGATTTTACAAGCACTATATAATACTTATAGATGTTTAACATAGTTTAATGCGATTAAATAATCTTATCTTAATTACTATTTGCTTATAATTGTAAATTAAAATGATTTGCAACAAATTTGATACTCATCATGTAAACATTTGTCAGTGCTACATCAATATTGTCAGATAGTAACTGACCTTTTTCAACTTACAATTTTCAAGCTATGGATAATTAAATAATGTAGTTGTGCAATTGATTAAGATAATCGATGAAATTATATCAGCCTTAACACCAAAAGAGCATAATCTAAAAATGAGCATAAATTACTTTTTAATGTATTTATTGTACATTTTGTACAAAATAAATCATCCCTTTTAAAATTATTTCTTGCATAATTGCACATTCTAATTAAGAGCACTATTTGTTACGAACTTTATATAAATAAACTATAAATAATCGAATATAAATGACTGAAAATAATATAAATACTTATTCAACGATATGATATATGTACTTACTAACTCATGTAAAACAATGCTTTCTTTTATTTTTTATTGAACTTTATTCGCACTTGAAATACAAACAAGTTTTTTAAAATTAATATAATATATGGCTAAAAAATATCTTTGCTCGATTGAAAATTAAAAGCATGTTATTCTTAAAATTTAGGCATAATTATTATTACAAGATTAAATAGAAGTTAAATGATTCCAATAACATTAATTGTCTAAGCGCTTTGTTTATTGCATCAAGCTTACATAATATTCCTAATTTTCCAATATTATTTAACGGATTACTTAACAATTGAAATATTTTAAAAAAAAATCGGTAATGTTGAATTTTATAATAAGACTATATTCATAGTAAAATTTAAATAAATTATTGAAGCTAGCTAATGCAACTCATTGGTTTAGTTTGACAGAACCAATAATTATAATAATTAAAATAATTATTCTACTATAAGCTTGGAAATATATATGCAAATCTAGCAGTTATCTCTAAATATATCGCCAGTGTGTATATATATATATATATATATATATATATATATATATATATATATATTATCGGTCTTTGGATGACGTCCGTAGTTATGAACTTTCAGAAAAGCACATTCGTTTAAGTAAATTTAACGTGCATACTCTACGATTTGACTCATTCTATAACAAGGAAAACAGGAACAAAAGATACCTGTGCTTGTCGAGATTTAATTTATCGACCATAAGAACAAACACCGACGTAAAGTGGTGTAGAATTGTATTGTATGTGAATGTGTGTCGGCGCCCGCGCGCGTTCGCACACGTGTGCTGTGTATAGCATAAGCAGCGTTACGATTAGTGTAATTGCTTTAAAATCTACACATCACATTTCATAATATTATTAATAACAAATACAGGTGATATACATTTAATGTTATTAAATACACGGAGTCACTTATGCGAATCTCCAAACTATTTGGTACGAAACTATATAGTCTTCTTTGAATTGAATTTAAAATCCTAACATTGTGAGATGTCAAATTTAATGTACTTAATAAGTAAAGATTATTGAACATTGTAATAAATCTATATGGATGTGTAATGATCTATTAAAAATTTAAATACTATAATAGTCACTACATTATGAGAATCAATTTTTTTTTTCTTTAAAAAAAGAAACATTAAGTTCTTAAGTGGTTATGCAATTAATATATGATATAATGATTCAATGTTTTATTAATTATCACTAGAAATATCTTGATGACCTTTATATGAGTAACACATTATTAAAGACTTATTTTTATTTCAATTAAACTCTATATAGACATAAAAACTTACTTTTGAAGAAATATTAAAAATTAATTTAATCTAACGAAAAACACTATATGAAATTACCGACAATTAAGGTGCACACG